GCATAGTAGGCCCATTTTTTGCTCTCCCCAGCCTCCAGAGCCTTTCTAGAAGTCTGGGGAGGGCAAAAACGGCCTCCCCCCCCCCCGGAGGCTCTCCGGAGGCTGAAAACAGCCTGTTTACCAACTTCTGGTGGGACCGGAAGTCCCGTTTCTGGTGGGACCAGAAGATGGCAAACGGGCCGTTTTTGGCCTCCGGGGGGGCTGGGAAGGCTGTTTTCGCCCTCCCCAGACTCCTAGAAAGGCTCTGGAGGCTGGGGAGAGAGAAAAACGGCCCTTCCCCACCACCCCACCAGGCCCTCCGGAAGCAGGAAACAGGCTATTTCCCTACTTCTGGTGGGCCCAGAAGACCCAAAAACCAGCTGGCTGGCGCGCACATGCACACCGGAGCCCAATATGGCCACACATGCCACCTGTGACATGCGTGCCACAGGTTCGCCATCACGGCTCTACAAGAAGCATTAAGTGGTTGTGGGCTAGGCTGGAAGAATCCCCAGAGATAAAACAAGGACTAATAATTCTGCAAGGCTGCTCAGAGAAAACACAAAGCATGAAATCACCAGGCGTCGAGGAACATGGATGTGCGCCCATGTGCGCCCATGTGCACTCGCTCTTCTGACTCTTGTTTATTACCGATCGCACCTTTGTCAGGTGCGTCTGACACCTTTGAGTCTTGCAGCCTCAGCGATTGTAAGTGGCGTGGACTTCAACTCCCAGAATTCCCCAGCCTGCATTCTGGATGGGAGTTGAAATCCACCCATCTTAAAGCAGCCAGGATTGCAAAAACGGGACATGGACGTCCTTATCCGACAGACCTTGTATTGCTTGATTCTGTGATGCTTGCCAATTCCCAGCGTCTTATTTTTGAGAATCAGGTTGAGAAACGGGGTCTTAGAGGAACGACACCCTTGTGAGGTAGGCTGGGCTGAGACAAGCGACTGAAGCAGGGTTCTCCAGGAAGCTTCTGCGGTTGAAGGGTGCGGGACTGGAACCTGATTCTCCCCATTCCTCACCCAGAGCTTCCCTGCTGGAACATTGTATGGACAGGCTGCTATAGGCTAACAGGCTAGACAAGGAGCTGACCACAACCTGTCCCAGGTCAGAAGCACCTGAAGAACAAACGCTGTTTTTCTGGAGGGTTTCTTTCCTTCTGTTTTTTTGCTGGCAGGGAAATTCTGGAGTTGAAAACCACAGGTTTTAAAATTGTCGAGAAACACTGGTTGACTGTCAGACTTAGATGCTATCTCAAAATTAAATGAATTTCCAAACTGCCAATCTTTAAGGAAATCTTTTCTTTAATTGAGCACAGCAACCAGATCATGACTCGATGCGGACAAGACTGACCTTTTGCCCCCCCAATCCCTCCCTTTCCGATCCCCAAATCTCTGCTTCTCATTGGCTATCTTCCAAGTCATTCTCCAGACTTCTTGTCTCGTCATTTCCCAGGAATGTCTCCCCGTCCTCATTTCCACGACAACCCGACGTCAAAGGGATTTAGCAGGCAAAAGTTCAGAGCTTATCTCTCTCCTCTGCTCTCTATGCCAGCGTTGAGGTGCTGACATCGACAATTCGACAGCTTCAACTTCAGAAGTTGTAGGGGCTTCATCATGGGAAGAAAAGACTGGACAGCCGATTGTCTGAGATGGTATAGGGCAGTGGTCGGCAACCCGCAGCTCTGGAGCCGCATGGGGCTCTTTCATCCCTCTGCTGCGGCTCCCTGTCGCTGGTCGGCTACACAATTGACAGGGCTTTTGGTTAGGATAGGTAGAGGAAAAAGGACACCGTGCTAGGAGGAGACTCTATGGTGGGGGAACCGGACTTTCGATCGGCTTCAGAATTGAACGGAGGCTTCCGGTTAGGACCTTTGTGGCTCTAGTGTTTAAGGTTGCTAACCCCTGGTATAGGGCCATGATGGCGCGTGTGCCAGAGGTAGCACACAGTGCCCTCTCTGAAGACACGCGAACCGTCGTCCCAGTTCAGCTCCGCTGCGCATGCATGTGTGCCTCCCACCCAGCTGGTCTTCGTGTCTCTGCTGTGCATGCGGGGGGGTAGGGTGCGTGCAGTGGGCCACGCACACATGCAGGGGCATGCGGAGGGCATGCGGGGGTGCTCGCGTATGTGCAGGGGACGCATGCAGGGGGCGTGCATCAGTGGTGAAATCCTACCGGTTCGCACCAGTTCAGGTGAACCGGTAGTGATAAAAGCTACTGGTTGGTCCGAACCGGTATTTTCAACGATCAGCTGTGCCGTGCGATTTATATTCGCTAGAAAGCAGGAAATCCTGCTTTCTAGCAAATCTAAATCGCGCGGCACAGCTGTTTCCTGCACCCCTCGCTATTCTACTTACCTTCAAACGGCTCCTTTTTCCACCCGAAGCGTGCGTTTAGTGCGTTTACTTCACACGCGGTGGCGTCCCGCAGAGGATTTCACCACTGGCATGCATGCATGTGTGGGGAGCGGGGCGCATGCACAGGGGCCGTGCTCGCCTTGCCTTTTGGGGGTTTGAGTGCCCACGCTTGCGCTTTGGGCACTGGTCCGGAAAAGGTTAGCCTACACTGGTTATAGGGCAATGATGGCTAACCTTTTTGCTGTCACGTGCCAGAAGCGGGGGGAGCACATGGGGGGGTCGTGCATGCGCGTGCCGACACCCATAATTCAAAGCCCCCCACAGCCCCGCACATGTATGTGTGACGCCCCCCCTCTGCCCCCCGCTTTTGGCACATGATGGCCTAGTGGGCCCGATAGGCCCGTTTTTCGCCCTCCCCAGGCTCCAGAGGCTTTCTAGGAACCTGTGGAGGGTGAAAATGGTCTTCCCCAACCCCCGGATGGCCTCCAGAGGCTGGAAACAGCCCATTTCCCGACTTCCGATGAGCCCGGAAGGCCCGAAAATCAGTTGGTTGGATCTGAACTAGGGCAACGCTCGCTTGCCCACAGATATGGCTCCGCGTGTCACCTGTGGCACGCGTGCCATAGGTTCGCCATCACGGTTATAGGGTCTCCTGCTTGAGCAGGGGGTTGGACTAGAAGACCTCGAAGGTCCCTTCTACCTCTATTCTGTTTCTGACTTAGAGTTTATGTTTACAACATGGAATAGCTGTTGCAAATCAGAGCAAAGGTTTGTAAATATTGCTAATCTGGGCACACGGTTTAGAAATAATTTCGGTGAGCAAAGCCGCTTGGAACGGGCTGTCCTCCTTCTGCCTCTACAAGGCCAGGCTGTTTTTAAAATCGCAGCCAATAATTTTAGACTCTTATTTCTAAATACGACTTTTGGGAAGATGGACGCCCTGTCCCCACCTCAGCCCAGCCTTTCCGTGTCTTTGGGGTATTTCTGTTTCCTTGTCTTTCAACACCGTAAGGCGGAAAGCTAACTTTACATCATTGTGGAGACAACAAGCTAAGGTTTTGTGGGGTTTTTTGCAGCGGGAGCAGGGAGAGACAAGTTTACTGTCAGGAACAGTATTTATAACCAGCAGGTGACATCGCTGTGAAACTCTCTATTGAAGGGAAACAGTTTAACTCTCTCCAGTGTGGAGTTTAACAGAAGCAGCCGAAAGAAACTCAGGCGTGGAAATCTTTATGAGTTGACAGCAGGGTGGATTTGATTTAAATCGAGTCGATTTAAATCACGATTTAAATCATGATTTAAATCACTAGTAAAAAGGCTTGATTTAAATCGACTCGATTTAAATCATAATTTTTAAAGAGCAACTGTCATCTCTGCTACTCCTTTGACCCGCCGTTGACTCACCGATAGTCCCAGTGTTGCAGAATATACAGCCTCCTGCTCCATAACTAAGCTCCATTTCATGCTGAATAAACTAAATTATTTATGTATCTTAAATAGAAAACCATCTTACGATAGATTTTTACCCCCAAAGTTTTTTATTAAAATAAATTCCAAAAAAATCTGATTTAAATAAAAAAATCCGATTTAAATCAAAAAAATCCGATTTAAATAAAAAAAATCTGATTTTTTTTTATTATTTTTTTAAAAAAATCATTGATTTTTATCCACCCTGGTTGACAGTATATATGTTGGGTATTTTTTTTTTAAATGCACATTTCTTTTCAGTGTCATGTATGTTTTGTGTTTTTTAGGGAGTCTTTTTTTTAAGTTTTCAATTTTGGGGGGAGTTTTCCATTTTCACTTTTCTTTGAATGAAATAAATGTCGTTGGATTAAAAAGAAATAAGGCCGCGCTAGAAATTAAGGCTCCTTTAAGATCTTTTTCCGAGTTGGCGGAGGGGGAGAAATGCAACCTAGGGATAATGTTCAGGGATGGGCAACAGGCTTCGACTCAACCCTTCCAAGACCGAGTGGCTGTAGCTGCCGGCGTCCCGGTATAGCCAGCTGATGCCATCGCTGGTTATTGGGGGCGAATCATTGGCCCCCACAGAGAGGGCCCACAACTTGGGGGCCTCCCATGTGACTCCTCTCCTGCGCGAGCTGCATTGGCTTCCGGTGGACTTCCGGGTGCGCTTCAAGGTGTTGGTGATCACCTATAAAGCGCTCCATGGCTTAGGGCCGGGGTACTTACGGGACCGCCTTCTGCCACCAATTGCCTCCCACTGGCCAGTTCGCTCCCACAGAGAGGGCCTCCTCAGGGTGCCCCCAGGGGGAGAGCCTTCTCTGTGGCGGCACCCGCCCTCTGGAATGACCTGCCCCCTGAGATACGCACGATATCAGACCTCCGGACTTTTCGTCGGGCCCTAAAAACTTATTTTTTTTCAGTTAGCCGGACTGTCCTGATTTTATGGTTGGTTTTAAAATTTGATATGGATTTTAAATTGATAAGTTTTAAATTACGGGCCAAATTTATTAATTATTTTAAATCTATTTTTAATTGTAATGTTATGTATAAATGTTTTTATTTTGGCTGTTCACCGCCCTGAGTCCGAAAGGAGAAGGGCGGTATAGAAGTTTGAATAATAAATAAATAAATAAATATATATATAAATAAATAAATAAATATCAACGTCTCATGGCCATCATCATTGCAGAAAATCAAGCGAGCCCCTTCCAGCGAGGACTGCTTCTTTCACCTCCTGAGCAAATTCCAGAGCAATCGGATGGAAGACCAGAGGTGTCCTTTGGAGGACTCCCAGAGGGATGAAGCAGCGGCTACCCTTCTCCCTGCCCTGGAAGAAACACAGAGTAAGTAGGCCAACTTTAGTAAGTAAGAGTAAGTGGGCCAAGCAGTGAGGGGGATCTCGGAGTCTCAATGAATAACCAGTTAAATAGGAGTGAGGAGTGTGTGGCGGCAGCCAAAAAAGCCAACACAATCCCAAATTGCATGAACAGAGGGATACAATCAAGATCGAGGGAGGTACTAATACCACTCTATAAAGCCTTAGTAAGGCCACACCTAGAGTACTGCCTCCAGTTTTGGTCACCACCCTATAAAAAAGAAGTTGAGACTCTAGAAAGAGTGCAGAGAAGAGCAACCAGGATGATGAGGTGACTGGAGGCTAAAAGATATGATGAACGGTTGCAGGAACTGGGCCTGGCTAGCCTACTGAAGAGAAGGATCAGGATAGCAGTATTCCAATATTTGAGAGAGGAGGGGGTCAAACTGTTTTCCAAAGCACCCAAAGGCCAGACAAGGAACAATGGATGGAAACTGATCAAGGAGAGATTCAACCTGGAATTAAGGAGACATTTTCTGATAGTGAGAACAATCCACCAGTGGAACAGAAGTTGCCTTCAGAAGTTCTTGGAGCTTCATCACTGGAAGAGACTGGACTGCCATCTGTCAGAAATGGTGTAGGGTCTCCTGCTTGGGCAGAGGGTTGGACTAGATGACCTACAAGGTCCCTTCCAACTCTGTTAATATCTGGGCCACCAGCTTCCCCGAGCCTTCCTTCATGTCCTGAGCTGGGTTGTTGTTGTACAGCTGCAACGCAACTTTTTAGGTGACACAATAATGACATGGCCAAGAAGCGTCCTTGTGATGGACAGGCGGAAATTCCCCCCCTTGGGGGAAAAGAGACGGGCACAGACTTTGACCCAAGGAAGGGCCCTGCTGGCCTCTTGACAGCGCTTTGAGGTAAACCAAGTTGAGGAGCAAACATCACATGGATTTGAGGGACATTATAGTTATTGGAGACCCAGCAACAGACTCTTGAAAGTCTGCTCAGGTTCTCTGTGTCCCTTCTTACGTTAAATGAGAATCAAGGTGGAGTTACAGGTAGTTCTCAATTTAAGACTTATTTGTTTAGCAACCGTTCGAAATTACGTGTCAGGGTTCCAAGTAATACACCTATAGCAAAGGGAACTCTGAGGCAAGCAGTTTCCTCCAAGCAGACGTTTATTGGGTGTATCATATTGGCACAAGCTGGCGAAAACCAACTCTAAAAGTCCCTGCGGTTTTCACCTCATTAAAAATAAGTTTTCCCCCCTTTTCCAAACAATCAGTCACATGGTCCAATCAAAGTACTGTCTGGTTGCTTGGAAACTTCACTCCTCCTCTCTTCAGCCACATGTCCTTGGTCCTTGGTTCTCAGGGGAAACTATTTTGTTTTGGCTACCAAACCCCCAGAGATCTCTATTCCCCCCTCCCTCTCCCTCAGCACCATTGTGGCAGCACTGAAGCCTCCCCCCCCAAGATGGCCTTGGTCAGGCTAGCTTCAGAGTTGACATTACGACAGTGCTGAAAAATGGGATTTACTTATTAAATTTACTTAAACGGGCCTGGCTACTTACGGGACCGCCTTCTGCCACTGATAGCCTCCCACCGGCCAGTACGCTCCCACAGAGAGGGACTCCTCAGGGTGCCGTCGGCCAGACAATGTCGGCTGGCGACTCCCAGGAGGAGGGCCTTCTCTGTGGCAGCTCCTGCCCTCTGGAACAACCTGTCCCCGGAGATACGTAGGATCCCAGATCTCCGTGCTTTTCGCCGTGCCCTAAAAACCTTAAAACTTTTTTATTTCATCAAGCCGGGCTGGCTTAACAACCCCCTCCCCCTTAGATATTTTTAATTGTTAATTGATTTTACTTGGGGGTGTTTTAAATTTACTGGGCCAAAATTTGTTTAATTCTTTTTAAAATTTTAAATTTTGTATGTGATGTTTTTATTCTTGGCTGTTCACCGCCCTGAGTCCAGTGGGAGAAGGGTGGTATAAAAATCTAATATGTTTGTGAATCCGCTGGGGCTGGCAAAGACTGCATTTTAGATGATAAAACTGGTGATCCCCCAGCACTTTTAGGAGCACCAGTTTTTATTTGCTTTGAAGCCATTTTCTAAATTTCAAATTGCACTTTTTCCACAGCCAAATCAACAAGTCCAATAAGTCCAATTAGTTGTAAATATTATCCTTTGTAAAAAGTCAGTACTGAATTCTTTAATCTTTAAATCTTAATACTCCTGTAAAGTCCATTAATTTTGAACGGGGCTGCCAGCGTTAACGAGCACTTTCCTCTTAACTTTCACTTTCATACCCCTTTAAGGGTCTATAGATAGTTAGCATATGTTAGTATATGACTGTTAAATGCTACACCCTGTATTTTGCTCTGGGAAGTCGGGAGGGGGGAGGGTTGGGGAGGGAGAGGGGAGGGGGGATGGGAAAACATTTGTAAAAATTTTTTAAAACTTTTTATTAAAAAAAAAATCTAATAAAATAAATAAAAATAAATAAATCACCTTTCCCTGGAGTTGTGGCCTTTGCAGGGCCCCCACAGCCGTATGATGAAAATTTAGGTTCCTGGCAGCCTGCCTGCACTTACGACTGCAGGGTGTCAGGTTCCGATGTCATCTCAAATAAATTGCATTCTCAAACAATTAATCTTTGCTGAAATCTTCCATTTATTGAGTACGACAATCTGGCCCTGACTTCGTCGTAGCCGATACTAACCCTCTGACCCCAAATCCTTCCCTTTCCATTCCCCAATTCTCAGCGTCTCATTGGCCATCTTCCAAGTCAGTCTCCCCAGCTCCTGACTTCAACCCACAGGAATGTCCCCCCTCCCATCCCATCTCCTAGGGGATATTATCTACAGAGAAAATAAGTAGGTGAAAAGTCAACCCTCGTCTTCTCTTTATGGCAGCATTAGAATGCTGACACAGGAGCTCTGCAGTTCTCCCACCTATCTATCTCTCTTCCCCCCCCCCAATACACACCTGGCCCATGCAAAGCACCTCGCTCACCTTCAGCATTTTTCTCCAAGTACTGATGGGCACATCTAGCCTATGCAAGGTGCAGCCTTCTTACCGAGGCTGCCTCGTGCCATTCGAAGGAGTCTGTGGTGGCAGAGTGGTTAGAATCAGAAGTGGTATTCAGCAGGTTCTCACCAGTTCTGGAGAACCGGTAGTGGAAATTATGAGTAATTCGGAGAAGCGGTAAATACCATCTCTGACTGGCCCCGCTCCCATCTATTCTCTGCCTTCCAAGTCCCAGCTGATCAGGAGGAAATGGAGATTATGCAGTATCCTTCCCCTGCCACGCCCACCAAGCCACGCCCACCGAACTGGTAGTAAAAAAAAAATTGAATCCCACCCCTGGTTAGAATGCAGCACTGCAGGGCTAACTCACTGCCCACTGCCAACAGTTCGATCCTCACCAGCTCAATGTTGACTCATCCTTCCAAGGTCGGTAAAATGAGGACCCAGATTGACTCTGTAAGTCGCTTAGAGAAGACTCTAAAGCACTGTAAAGCAGTATATAACTCTAAGGGTTATGGCTATTGCTCTTCCTTTTTCCCTTCCTTCCTCCCTCCCTCCGTCCCTCCCCCCCCTTCCTTCCTTCCTTCCTTCCTTCCCCCCCCCCCCTCCCTCCCTTTCCATGGTGTGCCATGGTTAGAATGCAGTATTGCAAGCTAATTCTGCCCACTACTAGCAGTTCGATCTTGACTGGCTCAAGGTTGACTCGGCCTTCCATCCTTCTGAGTTCGGTGAAATGAGGACCCAGATTGACTCTGTAAATCACTTAGATAAGGCTAAGGCTATATACCGCACTGTAAAGAAGGCTATATACCGCACTGTAAAGCGGTATATAACTCTAAGGGTTATGGCTATTGCTCTTCCTTTTTCCCTCCCTTGCTCCCTCCCTCCATTCCTCCCCCCTTTCCTTCCTTCCTTCCTTCCTTCCTTCCTTCCTTCCTTCCTTCCTTCCTCCCTCCCTCCCTCCCTCCCTCCCTCCCTTTCCATGGTGTGCCATGGTTAGAATGCAGTATTGCAGGCTAATTCTGCCCACTACTAGCAGTTCGATCTTGACTGGCTCAAGGTTGACTCAGCCTTCCATCCTTCCGAGGTCGGTGAAATGAGCTGAGCTGATACCCCTCCGTCCCAGGTAACTAAAGGTTCCTCCAGGGCTGGCCGGCTTGCTCATCCCTCAACTGGTTTCTCTCCCAGCTCAGTCCATGGCCTCCCCGCAGACCGAGGAGCTCTTCGACCTCATTGCCAGCTCCCAGAGCCGGCGGCTCGATGACCAGAGGGCCAGCGTGGGGAATCTGCCCGGCCTCCGCATCACGCCCAGCAACCTCGGTCACCTCCGCATGGACGGCGAGGCCCAGGAACCTGGCGACGAATTCTTCAACATGCTGATGAAATGCCAGGTAGGTTGGTGGCTCTCTCGCCCTTCCTAGACTTGGTGGGAAATTCTAACAGGAAATGGGAGGGAAATTCAACCTCTGCCAAAGCTCCCAGGGACGAGGGGCTTCTCTCGTTGCTCAGGCCTTCGCGTTCCCCGGGTGAGGTAGAACTCTTTTAGGGTTAACACTTTGGCCTTGGGGCGAAGGTCTGGGTTCAAGCCGGGCTGGCTTAGGAAGAAATTTTTAAATTTTTTAAATGTTTTAATTGGTTTGTGATTTTTAAATTTTTGGGCCAAATTTATATATGTTGTGGCCCCGCCCTCTGAGCCTATCTCATTGGAGGAAGAAAGCTCCGAACATGAGGAAGAGGAGTCAGCCAGGCCTCCCTCTCCAGGCCCCTCCCCTCTGGCACTGTCTCAGGTGCCGGCCGAGGGAGAGGAGATTAGCCAGGAGCCAGGTGTCTCGGATGAGAGCGAAGGAGAGCCATCATTCCTGGATGCACGCCAACGAAGGCGTGATAAACGGTTGCAGCAGCTAAGGAGGCATGCTAGGGATTAGAACTGAGTCACTGGACCACACCCCAGAGACTATATAAGAGAGGGTGGTGGCTGGTAAAACTCCGTGACGAACAAAAACGAACTTTGGCTAGTCACATTGAACAACGTCTGAAGCTGCCGAAAGGGATATTGTTTTGCTGGACTATTTGCAATGCGTATGTAATTTTATGTTATCTGTTGCAGTAAAAGCTCTTGGCAGACGGTGATTATATTGCTGCCAAGTTTGAGATAACGACCTGTGTGCGTGCCAAGTATTTTCTTAACCCTCGGCTGGCTGTGTTTGTGTGTGTGTGTGGACGGGGACAGATCAATATATATTTTAATTGTTTTTAATATTTGTATTTCATGTTTTTAATTCTGGCTGTGCACCGCCCTGAGTCCTCAGGGAGAAGGGCGGTATATAAATTGAAAGATAAAAAAAAATAAAAAAATAAAGCCATCATTTAGCCACGGGATTCACAGAGGGGATTTTGAACCACTGGCTTTCTTGCAGCTAAATCTACCTTACAGGCAAGGATAGGATAGGGGATAGGGGATAGAGATTATTAGAATAATTAGAATTAGAATAATTAGAATTAGCATAGAGTTGGAAGGGACCTTGGAGGTCTTCTAGTCCAACCCTACACCACTTCAAACAAATGGTTATCCAATCTCTTCTTAAAAACTTCCAGTGTCGGAGCATTCAAAACTTCCAGTGGCAAGTTGTTCCACTGGTTAATTGTTCTCACTGTCAGGAAATTTCTCCTTAGTTCTAGGTTGCTTCTCTCCTTGATTGTTGAGATGGAGATGAAATGGGGAGGGGGAAGGACACCCCCGACATAGGCCATTTTCAACAAAGCGGGATAGAAATGTAGTAATGAAATAAACGACATATGGCTGTTTTGTTTTGTTTTAATTTGATTTGATTTATTGTTTAGTTTGTTCAGAGCAGTCTGGCCCAGATCACGAGACGTTGTGGCTAACTTTTTTTTTATCTAGCATTGGGCAAATCTTAGCTTTTGGTGGAAGGTCACCGGTGTGGTGCCAGTCCAGAAGCCTCAGGGACCAAGCGCAGGCTGTCCTCCATTTGGGGAGCCAAGCAGGAGGGGACAACCCTTTTCCCACTGTAGGGAAAGATCTTGAGAGTGTAGGGCTCTTCCTGCCTGCCCCTCTAAAGTCAGCTTTAGCCCATCAAACACTGGCTGTCTTCTAAGTTAGATTCCACCCGTCCTGCTTTCTCACGCTTTTCCTCCCAAGATGCTCAGCGCCTTGTATGGTGTTCTTACGGCCTCACACGGAAGTCTCCTAACAGCCCCGCAAAACTGGCTGGCATGGAAGCCGGGTCCAGGGGTGAAATCCAGCAGGTTCTGACCGGTTCTGCAGAACCGGTAGCAGAAATTTTGAGTAGTTCAGAGAACCGGCAAATACCACCTCTGACTGGCCCCGCCCCCATCTATTCTCTGCCTCCCGAGTCCCAGCTGATCGGGAAGAAATGGGGATTTTGCAATATCCTTCCCCTGCCATGCCTAGCAAGCCACGCCCACCAAGCCAGACCACACCCACCAAGCCACGCCCACAGAGCGGTAGCCTAGTGCAACCCAAAAGAAGGACTTGGCTTAGTTCCCCTCCCTTAAGTCATGATTATGGCCTTTCCCTTCGCTTTTCTGCCAGGGTGGGTTTGATTTAAATCAAGTCAATTTACATCACGATTTAAATCATTAGAAAAAAAGGCTTGCTTTAAATCAACTCAGTTTAAATCATAATTTTTAAAGCGCAACTATCATCTCTTGTCCCGCAGCGGCTGCTCCTGTTGACTCACCCGCACTCTCATTCACTTTTAACAATCGTACAGTTTGTAGCGTACGTAGATTTGCAGAACAATGGGATAAAGGAATATTCCTGCACTTTGCTTTATGATTTATCTCATGGTTCCTGTGAAATTGTGGGGTGTGGTGGCTCAGTGGCTAGGACGCTGAGCTTGTCGATCAAAAGGTCGGCAATTCAGCGGTTCGAATCCCCAGTGCTATGTAGTGGAGTGAGCTCCCGTTACTTGTCCCAGCTTCTGCAAACCTAGCAGTTCGAAAGAATGTAAAAAATGCAAGTAGAAGGTGATAGGTAACGTTACTGATTGCTTAGTTCAGGAAAAGGGATGTTATGTTTAGATATTAATGTACTTAAAAGATTTGAATTAAGAGATATACGTATGGGGGTGGAGGAAATGGGTAGATTATGAGTAGAATAAATGCCAAATTAGGATTTATTATATAGTTTCATAGCCGAATGTTGTTTTGAAGGGTATAGTATACAGGGGACATAATAATAATGTTAGAAAGAAATGTTTAGCACATAGGGGGTGGTGTAAAAGGGTGGTAAAGTATTATATAATGTGATATTAATTTGGATTTCATCTTGCAGAAGCCATGGGGGGAGGGGAGGGGGAGGGGGGTTAGGGAGTGGGGGGGGAAGGGGGAAAAATGTGTAACTTTTTCAATTAAAAAAAAATGCAAGTAGAAAAATAGGGACCACCTTTGGTGGGAAGGTAACTGTTCCGTGCCCCTTTGGCGTTGAGTCATGCCAGCCACAGGATCACGGAGACGTTTTCGGACAGCGCTGGCTTTTCGGCTTTGAAACGGAGATGAGCAGCGCCCCCTGGAGTCGGGAACGACTAGCACATATGTGCGAGGGGAACCTTTACCTTTACCTATCAATGCAGTGCATCTTATCTCAGCTTCCAGAGCTTGGATTCATTGAATGAGTTTACCAAAAATGTAAATATTGCAGATTACTTTTTTTAAAAAAAACCATCTATTTTTATCCACCTGTCTTTTCTGCAGTCCTCCCGCCTGGATGACCAGCGCTGTGCCCCGCCCCATTCCATCCCCCGTGGCCCCACGGTGCCCGACGAGGATTTCTTCAGCCTCATCCAGCGGGTCCAAGCCAAGCGCATGGATGAGCAGAGGGTGGACCTGGCTTCCGGCGAAGAAGACCAAGCTGAGGATTGAGCTCAGATCACCAGCAAAGGCCCAGCTTCAGTTAGGCCAGAGCAAGCGTCCTGCGGAGGGAGGGACTTCTGAATGCTGCCCCCAGCTGAAGATCTGGGCCGTGGCGCTCGGTGCATTTCTGGGGGTGGGCAATGCCTCTCTTGTGCACTGTCTCCCCCTGGAGAACATGGCACAGGCGAGAGTGGCAAGCAGAATGGGTGGGCCCTTTCTGCTGACCAAGAGGCCTGTGGGCCAACTGGGCGAGATCGGCAACTATGAGGCATCTTCTCTGCTTGAACATCAGCTATGAAAACCAGGCTCAAGAACTGAGGAAAGGGAAGGTCTGCACCAAGGAGTCTGGATCAGGGCCACGCCCCAAGGGGCTGCTGGAGGGAGGGGTTGACACCTCCACCCCCCACCCTGAAAGTCAGGTTGACTCTGCCTCTTTAGGCCCGGATCCTGTGCCAAATCATCAGCAGCCAAGTTGGGTATATGAATTGATGACAATCAGTGACTCTGTGTGTCTGTGTGCAAACCTTGCTTTCGAAATATGCTTTTGGGTGCCCTTTTATCTCAGGTGCAATCTGATGCTGGTTGGAAAGGTGCTAGGCAGGAGACAGAGGGAAGCAAACATCCAGAGCCAGGATGTAAGGTTTCGGTTAATTGGGTGGAAATCGGGTGGAACCCATGATTACAAATGGCCTTTGACTTATGACCGCAGTTGAGTTCAGAATCGTGTCAGGTGGCCGATTTGCTCAGCGACTGCTGGCTCCTGGCTCTCCCAGTTGTAGTGCTTGGACAGGTTATTAAGCAGAGCTGGGGAGGGGGCTCATGGGGTGGGGGAGATCCAGTGCAGGCTATAAGGCTGTCCAGTATGCAGAAATCTTCCGCAGGCTACAGGGCCCACTTGGCTGATCCGGCACCACTTGTAAATTACTCCACTCCAAAGTGACAATAAAATCATTCTAAGTCTAGTTCTCTCACCTTTAGTATTCTGCATCTCTATAGAAACACGGTAGATGGGTGGGGGTAGTTGCCCCAGTTCTTAAAGCAAGGTGGGACGTGATCATTTTGCTTGAGCCTCGGTGGCGCAGTGGTTAGAGTGCGGTACTGCAGGCTCCTGCTGCTGCCTTCCGGCTGCCTGCAATTTGGCAGTTCAAGTCTCACCAGGCTCAAGGTTGACTCATCAGCCTTCCGTCCTTCCGAGGTGGGTAAAATGAGGACCCAGATTGTTGGGGGCAAGAGGATGATTCTGTAAACCGTTTAGAGAGGGCTGTGAAGCGGTAGAGAAGTCTAAGGGCTCCTACTTGTTAAGATCCTTAAGTGGATTGAATCCCAGGTTAGATGTGCCAGGAAGGCTGGGGAAATCCTGGTGTGCCCGAGGCAGGCCGTGCAGGATGGCAGATGCTACAGTGCATCACAAAGTTTGTGTCCAGCCCACTAGGATTGGGAGGTAGGCCTGTTATCACACAAAAGTCTCTCGTTTTGCCATTCCTTTCCTATTACCGTCAGGCGTGCCCAGCCTGTGTGTGGCAAGGTCTTCTTACTGAGGCTGCCTTGCGCTGCTCTCCAAGTGGTCTCCATTGCCATGATCCTTCAGAAGTTCTTGGAGTTTTGCATGCTCATTTCGTGGGCCAGAGGAGGGGCAGGTGGGGAAGCTGCAGTGCCCTTGTGGGCAGTCATAAGGTCAGGCAGAGTGCGGAGTGTTGAATTTTCCTTACGTGGCCCCAGGAGCCATGGGCATAACCTCAGGGACGGGTTATGTCCCTTCATTCAGGACTGCCATAACGAATGGTTAAATGCGGGCTACCTCTATAGCTATTGCGGCCATCACAAAAATAATATTTTTAGTAACCCATTGAAGGATTTTCAGGCAAAACAATAAAAGTTTTTAGGCAGATTCTGGCCCTCTTTTAATCTGGTTTCCTTGAAGGTAGAGAGGTTTTGTGTTTTTTTCCTTTGCTTATCGTGGACTGTTGGTTTGGAGTTTATTCCTCAATTTAATCCGCAGCTGTGGAATTAGACAAAGTTTGTTGCCGTTTCCATGGCTCCCCTATTTCTCCTGGTTCCCCTATTTGTGTGGTACTTTCAAAACTCCTGCTTTTTGAAGAGATATTCTATGGTTCCCCCCCCCCCCGCCCTCCATCAAAATCAGGAGCTGGGTTGCATGCTGCAGCTCCTGAAACCATCTGCCTTTTCATAAAACACGTTGGCTACAATAGATGCTCCCCAACTTCTGATTCTTTTGCCTTTTGAACATCTCAGCAAGATTGGAAAACCTGTCAAGAAACGCCAAGGTCCCCAGTGTGTTTTCGATCCTCTCTAGTCTAGAGAAGGCTCTCCCCCGGGGGCCGCCAGTCGACATTGTTTGGCTGACGGCACCCGGAGGAGCCCCTCTCTATGGGAGCGTACCGGCCAGTGGGAGGCTACTGGTGGCAGCAAGCGGTCCCGTCAATAACCAGGTCCTAATTTAATCAGCAGCTGTGGAATTAGACAAAGTTTGTTGCCGTTTCCCTGGGCAATTGGCTTGGATCTTTTCTCCTGGTTCCCCTACTTGTGTGGTACTTTCAAAACTCCGGCCTTTTGAAGAGAAATTCTATGCTCCCCCCTCCTAAAAAAAATCAGGAGTTGGGCTGCATGCTGCAGCTCCTGAAAGCATCTGCCTTTTCATAAATAGGTGCTCCCCAACTCCTGATTCTTTTGCCTTTTGAACGTCTCAGAAAGTTTGGAAAACCTCTCAAGAAACGCCAAGGTCTCCAGTCTGTTTTCAATCCCCTTTCTAGTCTGGTCTCTTTGCTGCCGCCCAGAACTGTCCTCAACTGCAGACCAGGTCCCTCTTGAGAAGGGAGACCCCGATAACCCCACGGTCCCAGACCGACTCTCCCATTCAGGGATGAAATCCAAACATTTTCCCTATGGTTTCTGTGGGTGCAGCTTGGTGGGCGTGGCTTGGTGGTCATGTGACCGGGTGGGCATGGCCACCTTGATGTACGTCACTCACTGTTAGTCCAGGAGATGTCATGGATGGAGTAAAATGTGGTGAAACTCACTTAACAACGCTCTTGCTTAGCCACCATAATTTTGGGCTCAATTGTGGTCATAATTGTGGGCACTGAGGGAGTCACTTTGTTGCAGCTGTCACTGAAGAAGATCTGCTGTTACCAGCCGCCGTGAGAGGGTGGCTTGGTCACTGCTCTCCCGGGGCAGCGGCCTGAGACTCCTCTCCACTGTAGTGAGAGGACAGTGGAGTCCGGTTGACCCGTGCCGGAATGGTGAACTTTCTCTCCTGGACCTTTTTTAATCAGCACCATTGAATCCTTGGACTCATTCGTCTTCCCCAGACAGACTATAGGATGTATTCATCGGCTGAGCTCTTCGCGCTGCGAGACTCCCCCCTCTCGCAGGCCTGGCCCTCCATGTTATCGAGGGCCTATCTTGATGACGAATTTTGGAATCCCGAGAGATGGCATGCAGTTGAGGGTTTTTTTATTTAAATTTTTAATGAAAATTTTAAGGGGACCCGGGAGGAAGGGAGGGGGTTGTAAAAGTGGACCTGGGGGGGTCCAGATAGCTACTGAGCGGGGCGATAGGTTGATTGGTTGCAGCAGAGGGGTTGGGAAAGGAAATTTATCCAGGGAACAGGGGGGGCAACAGGAAGGGCAATGAAATTGAAATAATGAGTGGGAGGGGCAGGTATGATGGGCGCAGGGGGCCATATCATGTGTGGGGGTGTGTGCACACGCTGTTTACGAGCAACTGCACACTCCGGCCCCCAATGTGCGACTCGTGGCCTGGGTTGTGCAGAGTCTCAGGCCCAGGGTCCGCGGCTGATGTTGTTTAATGCCAGGTCGGTTGTTAACAAAGCCCCCCTCATTTGTGATCTTATTTTGGAGGGGGGTGCGGACCTGGCAAGTATTACAGAGACCTGGTTGGGCCAAGAGGGGGGGTCCCCCTCATTGAAATGTGCCCACCAGGTTTCCGTGCATTTCATCAGCCAAGGGCCCAGGGGAGGGTGGGGGAGTGGCGGTGATTATTAGGGAAAGTCTTTGTCCGAGGGAGACCACTGTTCCTCAGATAGCCGGATGTGAGTCCCTTTTTGTGAAGTGGGGCCGTGGGGTGCAGATGGGTTTGCTGATTACATACCTGGCTCCCTGCCACGTGGTAGCGACCCTGCCCGAGCTACTTGACGTCATTGCCGAGGTGGCGGTTGATACCCCCAGACTTATTGTCATGGGGGATTTCAACCTTCCATTCGCGGGTGAGGCGTCAGAGGTGGCTCAGGAGTTCATGGCTTCCATGACGGCCATGGACCTGACCCAGTTAGTTCAAGGCCCCACTCACATAGGGGGACACACTCTGGACTTGATTTTTGTCTGTGGTCAGTGGTTGAATGATCTCGGTAGAGGGGACCTAGATATTAAACCCTTGTCATGGATAGATCATTCGCTCCTTCACTTGGACTTTCGTACTGCTTCCCCCCGCCGCAGGGAGACGGAACTGACCAGATGGTTCCATCCCAGACGCCTGATGGATCCCGAAAAGTTCCTGACGGAGCTTGGACCATTTCCTGAGACTCTGACACATGACTCGACAGAAGAGCTGGTGGCCGCCTGGGAGAGTGCGGCCGCCAGAGCTTTGGATCGCGTTGTGCCTTTGCGGCCTCTGACCCAATGCCGATCTCAATTGGCTCCTTGGTTCTCTGAGGAGCTGAGAGAGATGAAGCGTTGGAAAAGACGCCTAGAGAGCATTTGGAGGACTAGTCAATCCGATTCCGACCGGACACAGGTGAGGTCTTATATCAAGACCTACCTAGTGGCGATAAAAGCGGCGAAATCTAACCATTTCTCCGCTCTTATCGCATCTGCAGAGAACCGCCCAACTGCCCTGTTTAGGATGACCCACTCCCTTCTTCGGGGGGGGGAGTGCGGGAAGATCCCTTGCAGGGTCATGCTGAGGATTTTGTGCAATTCCTGCATGATAAAGTCGCTCGGATTCGGGATGTCTTGGACTCCGATTGGATGAGTCCAGGGGAGGAGATGAGGGCAGGTCTTGAGAATATTATCTGGGAGGAGTTTGATCCTGTGGCTCCCGAGGATGTGGACAGGGTTCTGGGTAAGATTAGTGCCGCCACGTGTTTTTTGGACCCGTGTCCCTCCTGGTTGGTACTGGCCTCCCGGGAGGTTACACGAGGCTGGCTCCAGGGGATTATAACTGCTTCTCTGAGTGAGGGTGCCTTTCCTGCCACCTTGAAAGAGGCGGTAGTGAGGCCCCTCCTCAAGAAGCCTTCCCTGGACCCGGCTGAATTAGTCAAATACTGTCCGGTCTCCAACCTTCTTTTTGTGGCGAAGTTTGTTGAGAGCGTGGTGGCACGACAGATTCCCCGACACCTGGAGGAAGCTATCTATCTGGACCCGTGCCAGTCGGGCTTCAGGCAGGGGTACAGCACAGAAATGGCATTGGTCGCGTTGGTGAATAATCTCTGGAGGGCTCAGGACAGGGGTTGGTCCTCTGTCCTAGTCCTATTAGATCTCTCAGCAGCTTTTGATACCATCGACCATGGTATCATGCTGCAGCGTTGAGGGGGTTAGGAATAGGGGGCACCGTTTTGCGGTGGTTCTCCTCCTTCCTCTCCGACCGCTCACAGTTTGTGTTGGCAGGGGGGCAGAAGTCGACCTCGAGGCACCTCGCATGGGGAGTGCCGCAAGGGTCGGTCCTCTCGCCCCTTCTGTTCAACATTTATGTGAAGCCGCTGGGTGAGATCATCCGTAGTTTTGGGGTGAAGTGTCATCTGTACGCTGATGATACTCAGCTGTACATCTCCACCCCAGACCACCCCAACGATGCCCTTGATGTGATGTCTCACTGCCTGAAAGCCGTGCGACTCTGGATGGGGAGGAACAGGTTCAGACTCAACCCCTCCAAGACTGAGTGGCTGTGGCTTCTGGCGTCCCGATATAGTCAGCAGGTGCCATCGCTGACTATTGGGGATGAATCTTTGCCCCCCACAGAGAGGGCTCACAATCTGGGTGTCCTCCTGGATGCACGGCTGTCTTTAGAAGAGCATATGACGGACGTGGCCAGGGGGGCCTTTTATCAGGTTCGCCTGATTTGCCAGTTTCAACCCTTTCTGGACCGGGATGCCTTGCGCACGGTCACTCACGCCCTTGTCACCTCCCGGCTGGACTATTGTAATGCTCTCTACATGGGGCTCCCCTTGAAGAGCACTCGGAGGCTCCAACTGGTCCAGAATGCGGCCGTGCGGGTGGTTATGGGCGCAACTCATTGTGCCCATGTGACACCCCTCCTGTGTGAGCTGCACTGGCTCCCAGTGGTCTTCCTGGTGCGATTCAAGGTGCTGGTTACCAACTTTAAAGCGCTCCATGGCACAGGACCCAGGTACCTTCGAGACCACTTCTGCCACCAATAGCCTCCCACCGGCCAGTTCGCTCCCACAGAGAGGGTCTCCTCAGGGTGCCATCGGCCAAGTCATGTCGGCTGGCGACACCCAGGGGGAGGGCCTTCTCTGTGGGAGCCCCAGCCCTGTGGAATGAACTGCCCCCGGAAATTCGTAAGATTTCTGACCTCCGGGTATTTCGCTGCGCACTGAAGACCCTGCTGTTCCGCCAGGCCGGGCTATCGACATGATAATTTTAAATTGGGGTATTTTAAATTTCTGGGGTTTTAAATGGAGCCAAATTTATTTAATAATTTTAAATTTTAAATTGATGTTTGTCTTGTGTTTTTAAATAGGCTGTACACCGCCCTGAGTCCTTCGGGAGAAGGGCGATATAGAAATAAAATTATTATTATTATTATTATTATTATTATTATTATTATTATTATATTATTATTACCTCATCCTCTCCGATGGGGTGCACGAGGCAGGCATCCGACTGGGTGGCGGTTACTGTCTCTCCCCAGCAATCGGTTTCTCCCAGTTCTCTGCTTCAGACATAGTTTGCAAGGTCCCCTCAGTAGGGCAAAGATTGCTTCTCTGGGTTGACCGTTTTGCAGGTTGTGCTTTCTGTAAGGATCACCTCTCCTTCCAACCTTAGAAAGTACGAACTCTTGAAACGTAGTTGTTCAAAAGGATTCTTTTATTAAGCAGAAGTGAAAACCATCCAGCTAAATCACAATCTGAATGCCCTTAGGCAAAGCAGTAGGATTAAAGTGGTAGAGACCCCTCCCTTTAAGTCAGAATGCAGATTTTAGCCAATACACAAGTGGGAAGAGGTTTTCTTTACTATTTCTTTTGAGAACCCGAACAAACATGCATTCCCACCACTACCCTTTAAAGTAAGACAACCCACATGACTATCATATAAATTCCTGCAGGTAAACTTCCCTTCTCAGGCCTCCTTGGCGCCAGGATATAGGTTGTAAAATATCTGATGACACAGGCCGTGCTAGTAAATCGAATGCAAGTCTCCCCCTTCTCCACTTGAATGGCAGCATCACATTTTTTGGGATCTGACATAGAAACCAGTTGAGTTTCTGGGAGGGAAAGTTCTTCAGTGGGATGAGACATTTTATTTTGAATTTGAGAATTCCCATATTTATATCTTCTGAGTTTGCAAAACTTTATTGAACTTTATTGAGGAGAACATCAGGGTAAAAATCAACAATGGCATTTTCTTTTCCTTGAAAAGCCAAACTATGTCTAGGAGGACAGTTTGGGGATGGAGTTGAAATGCGAGTTGGAAACAGTGTGGACACTTGAACGGTTTTTCTACCAAATTGGGCTAGTTTTGCAGATTTGTTGCAGGAAGAAGTTTGACCTCTGTGGGTTCCAATTTGGGGGTTAGTTTGGATTATTTTTAAAGCACTGTACAGATAGTCCTTGACCTACAACTATTTGCTTAGTGACTTAGTGAAGTTTTAGCAGCACTGAAAAAAGTGGCCTTGACCAGTTTTCACACTTATGACTGTTCCAGCCTCCATGTGGTCATGTGTTCGAAATCCAGGCGCTTAGCCACTGACATGTACTTATGACGGTTGCACTGTGCTAGGGTCACATCATCACTATGTGTAACCTTCCCAGCTGGTGTCCCACAAAGTCTTTGGAGGATTCACATAACAACTTCACAATTCACTTCACAACTGTAGGATATGACCTGCCAATTATGGCAAAAAATGGGGTGCAGCAACTGTCAAGAACAGAAATTTTTCTCTCAATGCTGATTGTAGATCTAGTGAGTACTACCTGTACAGTTTGGGGGAAACCTTTGCTCAATGGGTGGGGCCCAAAGGCCTCAATGGGAACCAGTCCAGGCCATCTGCACAACTCAGTGAACCCAGCTGGCTGTGTTTTAAGGGTGCCTTTCCCCCCAAAAAAACCTATGAGGGAGCCTCCCACCATTGCTTAAAGCACTGTAAGCCGCCCTGAGTCTCCGGAGAAGGGCGGCATATAAATCAAATTTAAAAAAAAAAAAGGGCCCTTCATGCAACCTGCATCTTGAGCCAAAGGATCCGGGCTCTTGGTGGAGGAGAAGCCCATCACTTGTGGTCATGGGAACCCAACTGCAGCAGCTCAGAAACCCTGGCAACTACGGTGAAGGGCTGGCTCTGCTTCCCTGTCTCCATCCCGTCCATTGAATGGCCAGCTTGATGAACGGAAGGGCCGAGGTGGGGGATTGTTCACCTTGCTGGTTGAGAATATCCCAAATTGTCTCCTCAGCAAAAGCATCTTTGATCGCATCCTACAAAGCCTCCAGTGGTAGAGAACGTGCCCTGAGGGTTCAAAGGGTCCCAAATCCCCCTTTCTGGGCATAGCCACACCCGGAAAGCCTTTCTCCTCAGAGTCCGTGGGCAGTGAGGGAGGCGTGGTGGCTGCCGGGGCAAACAGCCCCACCCTTTGCTTCATGCCACAGTAAGGGTCTCCGTGCCGCGAGGCCAAAGCCCCACTCCGCTTCTCTGCTGCAGAGGGGAAGGTCAGCTGGTGGAGAAGGCCAGGCCCTTCCCTTCCTCCAGGATGGGGCAGAGCAGGAGAAGAAAAGTTGTTGCAGGGATCACCTTGGCTGCTATACTTGAAGGTATCGGTAATTTATTGTTTTTGAAGTGTGTCTTTTGTGATTTGTGGGAAGGACAGGTGGGGAAGGGAAGCAAAGAGTTTGAATTCTTTCCCTTCCCTCTGAGAAGTCAAAGAGCTGCCAAATTCATTCGAAAGAACAGAGATCTTGGAGTAGAGAGAGAAAATAAAGCTGTTGAATAAACTGTTTGTGAGCCAAGTTCTTTGGAAATTATTTTCTCAACCCTCCGGGACTAATGCAGGTGTAGGAAGGAAACGCAGGGAGAATAAAAAAGGGAGGAGATGCCTACACATCAACACCCAAAGTATGAAGAAGAAACAGAGGGAACCTGACGTCCCAGAACACGAGAGCAAAGATGAGATTGCTGCCGTTACTGAAACATGGTGGGATGAAACTCAGGAGGATTTAAATTTTCCAAAACACCTAATAAAAAGAGGTGGAGGTGGAGTTGCACTTAAGCAGCTGCACCTTTGTAGAAATGCAAAAAATAAAAAAAATGAAGAAAACCTCCTTGAATGCATTTGGGTTAATATGAAAGGAAAACGGAATGAGGTTGCCAGAGGTGTATACGACGGACTGCCCAATCGGAGGAACTAGATCAGGGGCGTCAAACTGAAGGGTGCTTGGATCTGGCCCGTGGGGAACAGATTGGACTGGCCCACAATGCCTCTGCCAGCGAAAACAGAGCTCGGGAGGGAAGCGTGTAGCCCTACCGGCCCCATTTTCAGCTTTAATGGCCGCCTGCACTCCTCCGCCAGCGAAAATGTGGCCTCCACCCCCCAAGCTCCATTTTCACTGGCAGAGGATTAGAAAAAGAAACTAAAAGCAAAAGAAATGTTTCTCCTTTTGCATTTGAGCATCCAAGAAGGGCCAGGAAGGAGAAAAGGCAAAGAAGGAAAGACGAGAAGGGAGGAAGGAAGGAAAAAGAAGGAAAAAGGGAAGGAAAAAGAAGAAAAGGGAGGGGAGGGGAGGGCAGGAGGAAGGAAGGAAGATTATGAGGGAGGGAGGGTCTGAGAGAAGTCCTGTCCTAGCACTTGGACACCACAGGTGCCCACAAGAAGAGTGAAGATGAGAATATTTTGAATAATCCACCATATTTTCATCCAAAATGCTTTAACTTTTTTACAAGTCCACCAAACATGAAAATAGGTAGAATCAACACAATCACATCTCCAACATTTGGGTTGTAGGTTTGGGTACATACAAGCTAACTTTTTGGGATCCAAATGCCATCTATAAAACATTTTATAAAAATTTTCTCTCAAATTTTGAGCTTGTGTAAATATGGTGGATTATCCAAAATATCCTTAAAAAGAAGATAAAGTTTACTCCACAGTTGTTTTTGTTAGGTATAACTACAAATTTTACGGCTATAGAGACTAATTTGATTTTGAACCTAATAACTGCAGCAAGACTCTTGGTGGCGCAGTACTGGAAGAAGGAAGATTTATCTACTATTCAAGAATGGGCATTAAAAGAAGTAAATTTAGCAGAAATGGTGAAAATTTCAGCATATCTAACGGACCATTTAAATGAGAAATATATGTTAGAATGGAGAAGATGGATTGATTATATTCAAGGCAAATATCGGACTACAAAATTTCAAATAGCTTATGAATGATCAAAGAGATTTTATAAAGTACTTAAATTTAGTTTAGTAAAAGGGGAGTTAAAAGCTCAAGAGAGGGATAGGAGGCTATAGATAATTAGCTTATGTTAGTTTATGATTTTCAAATGTTATAACCTGTATTTTGCTCTGGGAAGTGGGGGTGGGAGGGAGGGGAGGGGAGGGTTCGAAGGGGAGGGAGGGAGGGGGAAGGGGAAATGTTTGTGAAACTTTTCAATAAAAAAAGAAGAAGAGTGAAGATGAGCTGGCCACGCCTACCCAGGGACCCCACCCCCCCAGGTCAAACATAACCCTGATGCAGCCCTGAAGGAAATAAGAGTTTGACACCACTGAGCTAGATGGACCTTTTGCTAAGCATTTAGCTCATGAACAGAAAGCAGAGGAATGGGGGACTTTCCCTATCCTGACAACTGGGGAACACCCAGTCTCTGCACCTAGTGGGAGGACCAAACAGGTCCCCAATGAGTCTTCTTCATTTAAAACCTTATAACTGCCCATCTTTCAGTCAACTCTGTGCAGCTCCCAAAAGGGCGTTTTCAAAAGTATCCAACACATTAAAACATAAAAGAAAAACCATCAAAGAAAAACCTGGGGCCAATCCATGCCACCTTCTCCTCCTCATATCTCACAAAGCTTCCTTGGCCTTAGAGAGTCCCTTGTAGGGGTTTCTGCTGGAAGACAAGGGGACCATTCAGGGAATCCAACTGAGAGCTTCAGATGCTTGGGGATGGTCTTAATAGGTCCCCACATTTGGGAAATCCACATAGATTATATCTAACAATGGCAGGGAGAAGTTCTTTCTTTTTTTATTGAAAAGTTTTGCAGAAAAAAAAAGGATTTCCCCCCCCCACTATATTCCCCCCACCCTTTCCCTCCCCTCCCCCTCCAGACTTCCCAGAGCAAAATACAGGGTACTTCAATTAACAATCATAAGCTAAATTAACCTATCTATCCTCAGACTACTAAATCCCCCCCGAAACCTTAACTCCACTATAGATAACATAATACTTCTAATACTTAACGTTCATTCATAAACTATTTGATATTTTCTTGTCTGATACTTATTTTGAATATAATCAATCTATCTTCTCCATTCCAATACGTATCTTTCTTGTGTGTAGTCCTTCAAATATGCTGAGATTTTCGCCATTTCTGCTAAATTCGTTACTTTCAGTATCCACTCTTCAATAGTAGGCAAAAAGTCCTTCTTCCAGTATTGCGCTACCAACAGCCTTGCTGCTGATATTAAGTTCAAAATCAATTTACTCTCTAATACTGTACAATCCATCGTTATACCCAGTAAAAACAATTGAGGAGTAAATTTCTACCTTTTTTTCAGAATGTTCTGCATCACCCACCAAATTTTTATCCAAAATGCCTTGATTTTCTTGCAGGTCCACCATACATGATAATAGGTTGCATCATCACATTCACATCTCCAACATTTAGCTTGCAAATTCGAGTACATACATGATAATTTCTTAGGATCTAAGTGCCATCTATAAAACATTTTATAACAATTCTCTCTTAAATTTTGTGCTTGCGTAAATTTAACATTTCTAACCCAAATCTTTTTCCATAGTTCCATCATCACTGGTTCCTGAAAGTTTTGTGCCCATTTTATCATACAATCCTTAACCAATTCCGTTTCTGAATCTATTTCCAATAAAGCATTATACAACCTTTTAATATGCATCTGACTTTGATCTCTAATCTGTTTCACCAAATTTTCCTCATGTTGCATAACATAAGAGAGCAGAGCTACCGGGGGCGGTGCCAGGAGGAAGAGGCGGAGCTGGGCCGAAAGGGGAGGAAGGCCGCTCTGGCCCACACTTTCGGAATTACAGAAGCCACGGGGAAACTTTCGATTCGGTTGCGCATGCGTCCTGATGCAGGTAGGACGCAGGGGACGCCGGGAGTCGCAGTCCGGGAGGGTCCTCAGGAGAAGGGAGGCCTGAGGGGGAGGAGAGGCCGGTGCGTCCGAGGCCTCGTTTGGCGGGCAGACACTGGGAGGGAGGCCCGTGGGAGGCGGGGGCTTCGGCCTGGGCCTCCCCTGAGGGAAGGGGACGCAGCCGTGACCCTCCTCTCTTTCTCCCCTGCAGGAGGACGGAGGATGGCGGCGGATGCAGGAAGGAAGCGCCGGCCGAGAGGAGGAGGAGGAGAGCAGGCCCCGCGAAGCAGCCCTGCCCTGTCCCAGCGCAGCTTCCCTGGGACATGGTGGGGAAAGGCCGGGGAACACCGGGGCTGCAGGAGGGATGAGTCCAGGGGGAGCCCAGGAAATGCGGCTGCCTGGAAGGCGATGCATTGAGGAAGAAACGGGCGGAGACCCCGAGACGGACCTGGAGGGCGGAGGCTCCTTTGGAAGACCCCGAAAGCCCCCAAGGATCCAGGAGGAAGCAAAGGAACATCAATGCCCAGAATGCAAAAAATCCTTCAAAAGAAAGGACTTGCTTCAAGGCCATCTAAAAATCCACACAGGAGGAAAACCTCACAAGTGCCTGGAGTGTGGAAACAACTTCAGTCGGAGGAGCAGCCTTTATAGACATCAAAGACTCTATTTGAAGAAATGCCTGGAGGGCGAAGGCTCCTTTGGAAGACCCCGAAAGCCCCAAAATATCCAGCAGGAAGCAAAGGAATATCAGTGCCCGGAATGTTGGAAAACCTTCAAAAATAATGAAAATCTGGAAAACCATCTAAGGATCCACTCAAGAAAGAATCCATTTGAATGCCTGGAGTGTGGAAAGAGCTTCAACTGTAGGAGCAACTTTAATAGACATCAAAGGATCCACTCAGGAGAAAAACCTTATAAATGCTTGGAGTGTGGAAAGATGTTCAATGACTTGGGAAACCTTTATCGACATCAAAGGATCCACTGGAGAGAGAAGCCAGATAAGGGTGGAGAGTCCTTCGGAAGACCTGGGAGTCCCCAAAGAATCCTGGAGGGAGGAAAGAAATGTCAGTGCCCGGAATGTGGAAAAACCTTCAAAAGAAGCTACCTTTTTAAAGTCCATCTAATAATCCACACAGGAGAAAAACCTTATAAATGCTTTGAGTGTGGAAGGAGCTTCTCTCACAAGAGCAGCCATGATCGACATCAAAGAATCCACACAGGAGAAAAACCTTATAAATGCTTTGAGTGTGGAAAGAGCTTTAGTCAGACGAGCAGCCTTTATGCACACCAAACGATCCACTCAGGAGAAAAACGTTATAAATGCCTGAAGTGTGGAAAGAACTTTGGCCATATCAGCAACCTTTATAAACATCAAATGATCCACTGGCGAGAGAATCTGAATAAATGCCTGAAGGGCGGAGCGTCCTTCGGAAGACCCTGGAATCCCCAAGGGATCCAGGAGGAAGGAAAGACATACCAGTGCCCGGAATGTCAAAAATCCTTCAAAAAAAATCACCATCTTCAAAGCCACCTAATTATCCACACAGGAGAAAAACCTCATAAGTGCCTGGAGTGTGGAAAGAGCTTCAGTCTGAGGAGCAACCTTTATAAACATCAAAGAATCCACTCCGGAGAGAAGCCATATGAATGCCTGGAGTGTGGAAAGAGCTTCAGTCAGTTGGGAAACCTTTATACCCATCAAAGAATCCACTGGGAGAGAAGCCATATGAATGCCTGGAGTGTGGAAAGAGCTACAGACAGTTGGGAAACCTTTATAACCATCAAAGAATCCACTCCGGAGAGAAGCCATATGAATGCTTGGAGTGTGGAAAGGAGCTTCAGTCAGTTGGGAAACCTTTATACCCATCAAAGAATCCACTTGGGAGAGAAGCCATACGAATGCCTTGAGTGTTGAAAGAGATTCAGTCTGAGGAGCAACCTTTATAAGTATCAAAGAATCCACACAGGAGAAAAATCATATAAATACCTGGTGTGGAAAGAGCTCTAGTGATAGAGGCATCCTCTATAAACATCAAAGGATCCATTTACAAAAACAGTACAAATGCGGGGAATGTGAAAAATCCTTCAAAAATAATGATCATCTTCAAAGACATCTAAGCATCCACACTGGAGAAAAACCACATAAATGCCTGGAGTGTGGGAGGAGCTTCAATCTGAGGGGAAACCTTTATAAATATCAAAGGATCCATTGCAGAGAGAAGCCATATGAATGCCTGGAGGGTGGGTGGAGGGTCCTTCGGAAGACCAGGGAGTCCCCAAGGGATCCAGGAGGTAGAAAGGAAATATCAATGCCCAGAATGTGAAAAATCCTTCACAGCAAATGACCATCTCCAAAGCCACCTAAGAATCCACACAGGAGAGGAACCCTACAAATGCTTTGAGTGTGGAAAGAGCTCTACTGAGCGTGGAGGCATCCATCGGCACCAAATAATTCACATGGGAGAAAAATGATAAACATGCCTGAGTGTGAGAAGATCTTCAATCACAATGTGTATCTCAGGCATTGAGTTGAATGGCGTATTCAATTTGGTCAAGTGTGAATAAACACACTAGGAATTTGTCCCGAGTGCACAAGCTCTTAGGGTTAATAACATTAATAAACGACTTTTTCAATTGTACATACAAGATGTTTCAACTGGCTGAAATTATACCTTTTCACAACAGAATTACAGGACTCATGATGCCATTTCCCATGTGAACGTTCTGTTTTTAATGTAATGGTCATTTCAATGCTTGTGCTTAATATGGGACGTTCCTTTCCATGTGTCTGATGTAACTGTAATTGAGCAGGATGATTTCTTCCATGCAATAAAAAAAAATCTGATTTAAATAAAAAAAATATGTTAAATTAAAAAAATCTTTTATTCATTCTGATTTCTTCCACACAATCAACTCTTGTTCTGTATCCTTTCTATTGTGTGGAGTATAAAATGAAACTCGATTCTGTGTCCTGGATTCCCTCTTTTCATTAAGGGAAATCTCTTATCCTCTAATAAATTGTCTTTAAATGGTCCTCCCACTCGGTGTCTAATTGAAGCAAGAGTTTTCCCTGGCTGAATCTAGGGCTAATCTGGTCTTCATTGTTGTGCATGTAAAGGAGCTGCTGCCTGCCATTCTTTGATACAATCTCTATGGGTTTCCCAAATATCCCTACCATGTAAGACCATCCCCAAGCATCTGAAGCTCTCAGTTGGATTCCCTGAATGGTCCCCTTGTCTTCCAGCAGAAATAGCTACAAGGAACTCTCTAAGACCAAGGAAGCTTTGTGAGATACGAGCCATATTTTAAAAAGGCCTCCACCCTTCTAGCCTTAAACACCTAGAAAACCCAGGCGCTGGGAGATTAGAGAATGAGAAGTTGGCATGGATTGGCACCCGACTTTTGTTTTTGTTTTTATATTCAGTGTTTTGTGTTTTAATGTGTTGGGATAGTTTTTAAAATGGCTTTTGGGGAGCTGCAGTGAGTTGACTGAAAGATGGGCAGTTATAAGAATGTTTTAAATGTATAAGACCCGTTAGGGACCTCTTCAGCCTCCCACTACCCTGTTTCCAGGGGTGAAATGCTCCCTGTTTGGACCAGATCGCCTGATCCGGTAGCGATGGTGGTGGGTGGTTCGGAGAACCAGTAGCAAAAATCCCTGCGCCCTCCCCCCACCATGCCCAGCTGAATTGCACGATCATCAGACGGGTTTTTTTTTAACTTTTAAAAGCATTTTTTGTACAACCTCTTCTGACGAACAAATGCTTTTAAAAGTTTTTTTAAAAAGCCTCTGATGATCGCATGGCTCAGCTGGGATAATCAGAGGCTTTTCAAAGCATTTTTTTCTGCAACCTCTTGGCCAAAGATCGGCCGAGGCTTTTCAAAGCATTAGAAAAAATGCTTTGAAAAGTTTTTAAAAAAAAACAGTTGGCCACGCCCACCCAGTCACATTAACCCCCCCCCCTCCAAGCCACGCCCACAGAACCGGTAGTAACAAATTTTACATTTCACCCCTGCCTCTTTCCCTGAAAATTAGACGTCCCCAAAAATATTAAACTGCATGTGGAGCCGGTCTCCGCTATTTTCCTCTGATTAGGGTTAGGAAGACGGAGCTGGAAATCAGGAAAGACGGCAAGAGGAGCCCCGCCTTGCGCCCCGCGCCCCAGAAGACCTCCCCGAAAATAAGGCCAAGCGCTTATTTTGGGGTTCAAAAAAATATAAGGGTCTTATTTTCGGGGAAACACAGCAGGTGCAGAGGCTAGGTGTTTCCAAGTTGTCAGGATAGTTAAAGTCCCCCATTTCTATGCTTCCTGTTAATCAGCTAAATGCTTAGCCAAAGGTGCCTGTAGTTCCTTTGATTGTGTAGTGCGTAGTATACACCTATGGCAACCTCATTCCCTTTTCCTTTCATATGAACCCAACTTCATTCAAAGAGGTTTTCTTCTTTTCTTTTTTGAATGTCTGCAAAGGTGCAGCTGTTTAAGTGCAACTCGACCTCCTTTTCTATTACGTCTGTTTTGAAAAATTTCTGGGTTTCATCCCACCGTGTTTCACTAATGGCAACAGTGTCATATTTGCTCCCATTGTACTAAGAGTATCTGACGTAAGGAGGATATAAACATATGAACACAATGTCTTCCATTCCACAAAGTGATGCTATCAAAAACTTAATCAATGATCAGAACAACATGGATGTGCACTAGAAAAAACATGGCTAATAACTTTTGCCTTAGTAGCAATAGCACTTAAACTTATATACCGCTATACAGCCCTCTCAAAGCGGTTTACAGAATCAGCATATTGCCCCCAACAATCTGGTTCCTCATTTTGCCGAACTCGGAAGGATGGAGAATTGAACTGTCAAACTGCTGGCAATCAGCAGAATTAGCCTGCCATACGGAATTCTGACCATTGCGCCACCATGGCTTAAAGAACTTAAATGCTGCAGAATTACATTCCTTGCCCTGGGCGTGAAAGAACTCCTCATTGTTTATTATAACCTTATTTTTGTTTTTCATGCTGCTGCTTCTTGCTGGAAGATCCTTGTGAGGCTCAGTAGGCGAATAATGTCCTGTTGCTTGGGGTGCACCATAAGGAGGTTAGCCTACCCTGCACCCCACTTGGACAGCAATTGGAGAAGACTTTGAAATTGAGAAAGCATGGTACCAGGAATGGGCAACTTTTAACTCAGGTCTGTTTAATGCAGTGTCTGATCCAGTACAATGGACCTCTGCCTTTGATATTCTAAGCACAAACTGGACAGAACCAAGGTTGGTCCAGGTTTATTATTTATTTATTAGTTTATTATTTATTTATTTATTAGAGTCTCCGGAGACTCAGGGCAGCTTACAATGCATTATAGCAATAGCTATAACTGCGAAGACCGGTCAAAAGTGCGAGGACCTGTCAGAAATCACTTTTTTCAGCCCTCTGGGTAGTCCTTTTGTGCATATGGACTACTCAGAGGGCTGAAAAAGTTATTTTTGACTGGTCCTCGCACTTTTGACCAGTCCTCGAATTTACGACTGTCCTCACATTTTACGTTTTTTGCCCTATCTTATCACCATGGTGAAGAGAAGCAGTTGTGAAATGAGTGACATGGTTGTTAAGAATGCTTCACGGGCATAAATGTGAGGATGGTCATAAGTGTGAGGACCAGTCAAAAGTGGGAGGACCTGTCAGAAATGACTTTTTTAAGCCCTCTGAGTAGTCCCTATACACATTGCCATGGCCACCCGGTCACATGACCAGCTAGCCACACCCACCCAGTCACATGACCTCCAAGCCACACCCACAAAATAAGCCACGCCCACAGAACCGGTAGTAAAAAAAATGTAGAACCCACCCCTGGTTGGGGGTCACCACAACATGAGGAACTGTATTAAAGGGTCGCGGCATTAGGAAGGTTGAGAACCACTGTTCTAGACCCTCCACCGGCATATTCAGTATGCCCATCATCCCACAGCCAGCACGTTGGTAAGGCTGATGGCGGGCGGCCCGTGGTGGAGACTGACACCGAGAGGGGCGGCGGCGGCCCCGGTGATGATCCAGGAGGGCAGGCGGATGTCTCGGTGCAGCCCCAGCCCCAGAACGTCCGCCTGCCCTCCCAGAGCACCACCACCACCATTCACCTTCGTTCTGCGGCGGGAGAAGGAAGAAAGTGAACGGCGGTGCTGCGGGAAGGCAGGCGGATAGATAGTCCTTGACTTACAACTATTTGCTTAGTGACTCTTGGAAGTTATAGCGGCACTGAAAAAAGTGGCCTTGACCAGTTTTCACACTTACGACTGTTCCGGCATCCCCGTGGGCATGGGGTCAAAATCCAGGCGCTTAGCCACTGGCGTGTATTTATGACGGCTGCACTGTGCCAGTTTCACGTCATCAGTATTGGTAACCTTCCCAGTTGGTGTCCGGCAAAGTCGTTGGAGGATTCCCATAACAATTTCTCCCCTCACTTCCCAACAGTAGGATATGAGCTCCTAACACTACCCTAACATCTGGAACAGCCACCCACTCAGGGTCTGCTCACAGATAGCCTTTCCACAGTAATAGTTATAGTTTTTCCTTGTGGAAGGGAAAATCTTGGATCTTGTAGTGATTCTCATCTATTGCAGCTCCTTTGAGCAGCCGATCTCCAAGGGGAACACCTGCCGAAAGGCTCTGGCCATGCAAAACCACGTTGAAAGATCCCTGATGGAACCTGGCTTCTCTTTCAGGTATGCAGGACACAATCTCCAAAAACTCTTTCCAAGGTGGCTTAGCATCCTGGAATCGTGATAGTGAAATGCTTGGGATGCAACAACCATCATCTACAAAGAGTTGTTTCTTCTCCTTTGCTATATGTAGAGATTAGGATCCTGCACTGGATACATTGGTTCCTCTGGATAACTTTGAAGATCAGCTCACACATGTCCCATACAACCAGCCTCCCCCCATCTCCCCTCCCCCAGCGAGAAAACCCCTTGAGAAAAGGCCTAGATCAAAGGAGGAGAAGACTGAGGCAAAGTCCAAGAAAGCAAGTGAATTCACAGCAAGTTAAACAGCGTATGATCTTCCCATGTTAGGCTTCATCACTAATTTGAAATGACATAGTAGCGCTTTTAACATGGCAGTCTACCCCTCGTTTTTCAGGTTAAGAATGCATGTTTTCCCCTTCTTGACTAAGGCTTTTTATTTGGTATGTGGGAACAAAGCATTCTGAGAGTCTTTGAATGCACCTGCAACTTTCAAACCCAGCTGGAAAGACTAATGGAACTCATCAATTAGCCCTTTGGGGGATATTATCTAGAATCAAAGTTTTCTTTTGTTTAAACTTGACAACCAGCGTATTTTATTGTTTCATCATTTCTTTACTGACATTGAATGTATGTATCATTTGTTTCTGTACCCTCTTAAAAGACGTTAATAAATGTTTTTGCTTTGCTTGAATTATTTGATGATCTGTATTTTCAGGCAGGCAAAGGAGCCCCTTGGCTTCTCTCAAAGTCTCTCAAATTCAGGTAATTAAGTTCTTTTCAGCTCCACACCAAACTTGGTGCCTGAGTTTGGAGATGAAGACATGATTTAAAATGATCAACCAATAAATAAAAGTAATAGAAAAAGAGGCAGGTCGAGGGGCTCTTCTTGGGCTGTGACTTTTCCCCCATCCAGGATCCCTCACTAGGCAAGGTGGGGGGTGGGGATGGAGAGGAGGTTGGAGGGGCACCCAGGCAGGTAAGAGGCCAAATGGGCATTTTCACCCTTGCAATACAACTCTGGTAAATTGGCTGCAAATAGAGGGAAGATTTCCCAGAGTCCAGGAGCCCTTCAGAAACCAACCCACCTCTTGGAAGGCACCTTCACTCTGATAACTGATGGTAACTGGCAGTTGAGCCTGCA